CTAACGCTGAGAATGAGGGCCAACAACAACCGGCACAACCCCTCGAGGAATGCACTGACAGTTGTTGGGATGAGCCCTTCAAATCACATACCGATACCAAGCCGTACGGCCCGATGTCAGTGGGCTGTGACTTCACATTCGTTGACTTCGACAACGTTTACGGCATCCCTGAGCACGCGGACAGGTTTGCCCTCAAAAACACTAAAGGTTTGCCCGAAAGCACATTCAATGGAAACTAATTGTTAGACTAATTACAATAATTTTGATGTAAACTACAGGAACTACTGATCCCTACCGGCTATACAATGTAGACATTTTCGAGTACGAAACCGAGACTCCAATGTCTCTGTACGGCGCCTACCCCTTAATGGTAGCCCACTCTACCTCACGAACAGTGGGCCTCTTATGGCTGAACCCGTCGGAGACGTGGATCGACATCGAGTCGGCCAACACTGGCTTCTCCGGTCTCATATCGAATCTGGTGTCGGGAGAGACCAAAAACAAGTTAACCCATTGGTTCAGTGAGACGGGGGTCGTCGACGTGTTCTTCCTATTGGGCCCCAAATCCAGTGATGTTATGCAACAGAACGCCAAACTCACGGGAACTACACAACTGCCCCCTCTATACTCCATTGGTTACCATCAGTGCCGATGGAATTACTGGAATCAAGGTTTGTCTTAATTTTCATTGAGATCTTGAGTTGTTATCTCATGTGAGGTGTCTTTCAGGCGAAGTAAGTGATGTGGACAACAGCGCCGATGCGCACGACATCCCAATGGACGCCATATGGCTGGACATCGAGTACACGGAATCCAAGTCTAAGAAGTACTTCACTTGGGATCCGCAGACGTTCGGCGACGCAAAGTCGTTGGTGTCGAACCTGACATCGAAAGGCCGTCGACTCATCACTATAATTGATCCGCACATTAAGAAGGACTCCAATTATCACATATACCAAGAGGGCACCAAAAATGGTTACTTCACTAAAGACAATAAGGATCAGGACTTTGAAGGTATGCATTGATACCTGAATTGTAGTTATGTTTTGCTAACTGTTGTGATGATGACTGGCAATAGGTTGGTGTTGGCCGGGCAGCTCAATGTGGGTCGACTACCTGAACCCGGACGCCGCCAAGTGGTGGAGCAGTAAGTTCGAGCCCTCGCACTTCCCCGGGTTTGACGGATTGGTAGACATCTGGAACGACATGAACGAGCCGTCGGTGTTCAGCGGACCCGAAGTGACGGCTCCCAGAGATATGAAAGTAAACAAACCGTTCATTCATTTAGTTTTGATCTCACATTTTAAACTCACTTTGTTTTTGCGTAGCATTACGGCGACGTAGAGCACCGGGACCTGCATAACATGTACGGCTTTCTCATGACAAAGTCGACGTACGAGGGGCTGACCCAATACCGGCCGAACACCCGGCCATTCATACTGACGCGTTCATTCTTCGTGGGTTCGCAGCGTCACTGCGCGGCCTGGACTGGAGATAATATGAGCAAATGGGAGCACCTGAGGATGACTATCCCTATGCTACTGTCCCACTCCATCGCCGGCATCACATTCATCGGCGCAGACATTCCCGGCTTCTTCTACAACCCCGAGACCGAGGAACTAGTGGTCCGATGGTATCAGACATCTGTGTTTCACACGTTTTTCAGAGGACACGCCCACTTGGATACCAAACGCCGTGAGCCCTGGACTTTCTCGGAGCCCACCAAACTGGCCATTCGGGACGGTATGTCTCAAATTGTACTCATTTTGATGTGTTATTAATTGAATTCTTATGGAAACAGTAATCCGTTTGCGTTACACATATTTGCCGCTATTGTATAAACTCTTCTATGAGAACGAGTTGTCAGGAATGCCTCCAATGAGACCCCTGTGGATGACATTCCCCGAAGACGTTGACAGTTCACGACCCGCTCTCACTCGACATATTCCTCGATAACGTGGGATCAGCTGAGGGTCAGCTATACTTAGACGACGGCCAGACGTTTGACTACAAGACGGGTAAACATATTTACGGCAAAACCCAGTTCACGAGAAAGACATTAAGTTATGAGATAATTGACGGCAAATACGACGAGTCGAAGGCATGGCTCGAAAGGGTCACTATTTTCGGGTATCCGTCGAAACCCCAGAAAGTGTTCATCACTTCCGGCGATAAGACCAATCAATTGGCGTTCAAATACGACCAACAAAAACGTATTCTAGTTATACGCAAACCAGGGCTGGCCTTTACCAACAGCTGGCAAATCAAGATCTCTTAATGGCCGACACCGGTAGCCCTCACGCCAAGCAAACACCCCTTCCCTTTGCAATCAATTTTAGCAATTTTTGTCACATTCTGTGCACCCCTTTAGTGTTTACGTTATTTTAAATTAAACAAATTGTAATAATTATTGATTTATAGTTGAGATAAGAGATTTTTAAATTGTTTTTTGAAACTTTTAATTACTGTGTAATTGAATGGTAAAGCTATTCGCCAAACAATTGATTAAATTATTCAATTTTAATGTATTTTTCATTTCATTTAGTGTTGTTGTTGTGAATGACCTTAAACTCAATGCTCACAACATTTGAATTTATATTTTTTAGAAGAAATAAAATATAAGATTCAGTAATATATTCTAAAACTATCCAGGTTATGTTTATCTAAAAGCTCATGGTTTTGTTTTAAAGTTTTAAATTTAGATTTTTTAAATAACCAAGTTGAGTTTACAATAGGTATGATATCTTAAGTCAACATTCATTATAGGCTACGAAATGATTTGATTAACTGTTTTTAATGATTTAATTTAAGAATAATTTAAATTATCTTAAAGACTGGACAACATTTGAGATGATTTGATACATTTATGCATAATTATGATTATCGATATAATTGTGTGACAAATAGTTTGAACAGTTTAACCCCTTTTGACATATTGTACAGTACTTATGATATAAACATTGGAAATTGTGTAATTATGGGTATAACCTGTAGTTTATACATATCTTGTTATCAATGGTTCGCTAATTTTCACTATAATTACCTAAAATTAAGTCAATATTTTACGGGTAATGCTATTTTAGATAATTTTTTAAATTTTAAATAAAATCAATATTTTATATTAGGAACCTTTAAAATATTTATTAGATATTAAAGATTTTATCTTAGATATAAATAATTAAATACATATAAAAATGTAATTATTTTTAAACATAATTATGAAATTGAGTGTCGAGGTATTAAGTGGAACGAGTGTTAATGAATTTGTGAAACATTAAAATTATTGTGAAAATTATTGCTTATTAAGCAAAACTTGAACTTTCATTATCAGTCATACGGTTTTGAATACCGATTATTACTATTATTATAAATTAAATTATAGGTAAAAGTGATTTGTTAAAACACATACCCACTCATTACAGTGACAATAAACATATTGTAAATGTAATATTCGTTGCTAAACATTCACTTTAATTATAGTAATCATGAGAAAAAATTCACAAAATATAGTTCACTAATTAAATAATCGATTTACGCGAAAATGAAGCAATTTGTGAACTTTTCATTACATTTCCAATTCATATAAATATCGCAAGTTTTGGCTCTAAAAAAGTAATTTGTTATAAAAATTCTTAAATCTTGAAATAAATCTTTTTGTATCAATCCTTAACTGAAAACAATGGACACAAAATGGATTTATTTGTTGGCAATTGTGTTAATATTGAGTGTTTGGTGCCCAGGAGTGGAATGCAGTGCAAAGGGTGGTGCCGTGTCCTATGGCTCCAAAATAGACCACTCGAGCAAAGGTGGAGGGGGCAAAAGCGGTGGTGGAGGCGGTGGCGGATACGGGGGTGGAAATGGAGGC